ACCATTTCAGTGTAAGCACTTGAGGGTAATTCTGTTGTCAAACCATCGCTACTTGAAGACCTTTTGATTCCTGTCAGAATGGGCAACTTTCTTAGTCAGCTACAGAATCTCTTCTCTTGGTTGTCTCAGGATCAGCATATACGCATCGTCCTGTTGGGCCTCGATGCCGCAGGGAAGACGACTGCCCTCTACCGGTTGAAATTGGCCGAGACTGTCGTCACAATCCCTACAATCGGTTTCAACGTCGAAGAGGTTCAAGTGCCAAGGACTGGGATAACCTTTACCGTCTGGGACATCGGAGGTCAGGCCAAGTTGCGCCGACTCTGGCGGCACTACTTCCGCGATACAAGGGGCCTTATTTATGTTGTCGACTCCGCCGACAGACAGAGAATGGAAGAGGCAAGTGAGGAGTTGTGGGCCGTTTTGAACGAGCCCGAAATGGCAGGAGTGCCATTCGTTGTGATGGCCAATAAACAGGACCAACCGATGGCTCTGAATGTGGCAGATGTTATGACCAGATTGCGGCTACCTGAGCTGGGCAAGAAAGGACATGCATGGGAGATCCGGGGTACCTGCGCGGTCACTGGTAGTGGACTTTTTGAGGCAATCGAGGCAATGGCAAAGCTAAGCAAACAGTTTGTGAAAAAGGAAGGTGTGTATATCAACTAATAACTGTGTCAAATCATAGTAATAAAGCCGATTTTAACAATTTGCCAACTTTTTTTATTGTAAGATGTCACGGAAAGAGGGAACACTTTTTAAATGAAAGTAAATTTCGGGGAACTGAGGATTGAGAGTTGAACTTTCTTATAATCAGGTGAATAGGCCTAGGGATACCATAGAATCACACTTAGCTTTGCCTCCAAAACGGCCTTTCTCAGTCTCGACATCAACTAAGCCTCATCAGCAAACCTAACAGGAATCGATATGGGTCGTAAGTATCGAGGCTACGCTTCCACTCCACTTACCATCCACGAGTGCCTGTCTGTCTTACATGAAAGATAAGGTATTCAAGGCAAGCCAAGAATAAACCAAATCACACATTTAGAGCTGGATAGTCGATTAAGCAAGCATATAGTAAGTTCCAAAAGTGCGAGTTCATAATTAAGAACTATGTTTATTTAATCAATAATGAAAAAACTCACACAAATATTTGCTCAGGTGATAATTTTCAAACAAGATTACATGATATGGGATGTATTCACCATGTTTTGATTAGGTGATAGAAGACTGAAAGTTGAGTTTTGCCACAGCTATGTAAATAGACCTTAGGTTTCTATTTAATTTCACATTGGTTTGGTTCTCAAAGGTATTCTCATCTAGAATGGACCGCAGCTTTGATCTCGCCTAGGTCTCATCAGCACCCCTAGAGAGACTCGAGACTTGATAAAGCAGCTCACAATCTCGACATGTTAAATACTACGGAATTATGCCACGAATGCCTTTGGGTCACGGGCAGATGTGAATTTCAAGGAAGACTAAGCAATTTTCCATATCTCATTCTGTGGAGGGATGTTCGATTTAGCAAACGAATTTATGATATGACACTCGATTATATTACTCACTTTTCGTAGATAAATAGAGTTTCGAGACTACCAGTAAATCAGTAATATGAGATGTATTCTCCCAATTTCGTTTAAGGTGATGGAGGACTGTTAGTAGAATTTTCCCACAATGATATGAGTAGAGCTGACGTTTCCATTGAATTTCACGTTGTCTTGCTTTCCCAAAAGGTGTTCTCATCCAGATTGGACTGCGGTTTCGGCATCGCATAAGTCTTATAAACACCCACGGCGGGAGTCAAATCGTAACAATTCAGCGTGTAATCTCGACACGTTAACCAGCTACGTGAAATTCAATGGAAACGTCATCTCTACTCATATCATTGCGGGAAAATTCAACTGCCAGTCTTTCATCGCCTTAAGCGAAATAAGGCGAATACATCTTATATAACTGATTTAAGGGTAGTCTCGAAACCCTCTTTATGAACGAAAAATTATCATGAATAATATGGACTCCAGACAAGGTGAGTTCCTCTAGGTTGCTCTGACACTACGGCAACGTTGCGAAAACAAGGTCAAACTGCGTCTATCCTACGAAAGGTGACCACGAACGCACTAGAGACCACACTATCTGGGTATTCATACCTTCGATTAAAATATATAATCTTGTTTGAAAATTATCAACTGAGTAAGAATTTGCATTAATTCTTTATAAATAAATATAATTCTTGGTGCTTGACTAAAGCTTTTGGAGCCTACTGCAGCTTTCCATTGCAATAAATAAAGAAACCTATTTTCAATGAAAGTAGTTTTAGAGACTATAAGTACTTTTTAACTAAGAACTTATTCACCTTAGTTTACTTTTGGTGATTTAATGACCGAAAGTTGAGCTTATGGGTTAATCTCATCTACGAACATAACAACTTGTTATTTCATCTTAAGGTCACCTAACGGTGGCGTAAGCATTTGGAAGTCTTAATCAAAGCAACTTGACATACCTTCACTTTCCACTTGACGAAGATAATCTAGCCTAACTAGCATATCATTGTCTTCTATACATGTTCCGTGTGATGCGGTCTCCGTCCCTCGATCAGCTTGGGTAACAGTCTATCAACATTGATGGGCCATACGGAATTAGGAAATGCAGCCTTTCATGTATCGAATCAGATAGCAGCAATATTGTGTTCTTTGGATGAAGGTAGCAAACTATATTCTCGGTGAATAATAGCCAACTCACTCCAAGAATTGACGCATGTTTGGGGTGAATACTAATAGACTCATCGTGTGGATATACATTCGAGAATTGGTTACAATTGTTGAATTACATGTGGCTTAATGTTTTACCCATACGAAGAATCAATCTCTTCGGCAGTCTTCGGTGCCAGTAAAGGTTTGACAGGAGCATAGAAAACTGTGATGAGGATGCATCATCCCCGAATTTTGTTTCAGCTAGGCAATGCCTCGCTAAGAATTGTAGTCACTATGTGTCGTTGAAGCCCGATAATGAATTTTCCCACAGTGGTATAAGTAGGTCTTCGGATGGCAGTATTTTGCATTTAATTCTGTCTCCCAAAGGGTATTCTCATTCAAAATGAACGGCAGCTTCGACCTCGCCTGGTTTCCATCAGCACTTTCCAAAGGGACTAGAATCAGGAAACCATAGTGCTTATTTTTATCATGTTGCTGAAATTTTATGGTATGGCTAGGCGGCAACCATTGGAAATAAACGTGGGAAAAATTCACTGGCAGATCTTCGTTACATTAGATGACCTTAAGTGATTACACTTATTCGCTAAGATCCTATCCTCAAAATCCTGGTAAATGTACCCGAGTATTTGGGATTCGTAGAGCCAAACAGCCTCTACGAGGAAAAGTTGCGTTTCGAGCAATTTCTTGATTCATAAATGATGAGCTTACACCTGGCTTAAGTGAGAGTGCTTGGCAAGGAGCTTAGAAGGTTTTGTCTTGGTTCTAATCATGGCCATTTTTATGTACATTTTAGTCCACTCTATCTCGTTCACCTGCAGGCAAAATGCTCATCAACATAACCAGACCTGTATCCGAGCTTGCGCAATCGGAGTGATCGTTAAAATATGCATAGAGCCGGGGTGATGATAATCATTAAGCCTTGAAGGCCCCGAACAGACATTACTTTTGCTTCGAAGGTATGAAGACCAGATGGTATGGCCTTTTGTGTGGTCGCAGTCTCCTTTCGTTGTATCGAGGTTGTTTGACCTTGTTTTCGCAACATGGTCATATTGGTAGGAAGACTTAGAGGAACGCACCTAGACCGGAGTCCATTGTATGCA